GGAGGCTCTGCAGATGTAGCGTGGGCATCTGCCCCACAAAAGGTGACACCTGGTGCCCACAGAACATGACTAGCCTGCCACCCTAGGGCAGAGGCTAGCAGCTAACATTTTCAAACAGCTTTATTGAGCTTTGACTCATACCATTCAATTTACCTGTTTAAGGTATACAATTCAGTGGTATTTAGTACATTCACAGAGCTATGTAACCAACCCCACAATCAATTTGGGAACATTTTCATCAACTCAAAAAGAAACCGGTACCCATCAGCAGTCATACCTATTTCTCCCCAAGTCCCCACCTCAGACCCTTGCAACCACTAATCTACTTTCTGTCTTTATAGATTTGCCTATTCTGGCTATTTTCTATAAAAGGCCTTTATGTCTGGCCTCTTTCACTTAGCTTAATGGTTTCAAGATTCCTCTGTGTTGTAGCTCTACCCACACTTTATTCTTCTGTATTATTGGATAATATCCCATGGAGTGTATATACTATGTTTTCTTTACCCACTCATCAGCTGATGGACATCTGAGTTTGTTTCCACTTTGGGGGTGTTATGAATAATGCTGCTTTGAACATTCATGAACAAGTTTTTGGCCCCTAATTTTTAAAAACATATTTATAGCAGATCAGTTTCCTAATAGGAACTGCTGAGTGGAACACTGTTTCTGTAGAGGGAAGTGTTAAGTTCCAGAAGCAAAGTGCTTCCAGAAGCCCTACATAAAGAAGCACTTTCTAGGTACAAGTGCATGGCTGCCCCTTCTGGGCAACAGAGAGGGTGCTGGGCAGAGGCTGGCTGACAGCTAACAGTGGAGGCCTCTGTTGCTCTCGCTCTGCCATAGAGGAAAAGGAAAACTGTAAAAACAGTCTCTAGGTGGGTTCCAATAATGGTTTGAATTTCAAAGAGCCTCCATCAGTATCTGTCCCCTAGTCACTCACCAAAGGTTATGAAAATCTGTCAGTTAGGATCTCTCTTATCAGCTGCTTCCTGGAAAACTATTCAGTCATCATTTTTTGTTAAGTTACAATTTGTCTCAGCTATAGTTAGCTGCATCTTATAGGACATACATCAAGTCCTCTAACTGAAGAATAATTCGCTAAGCAGAAACTGACCAACAGGCAGACTTCCATGGAACTTAGAGAGGATGCTGAGCCAGCCCAAGGACCTACTGTGTATCAGGGAGCATGTGCAGTGGGACAAGGGGGCAACTGCGGCAGTCTGTGAGTCTTCCTAGAAAAGTGAGGTCCAGTCACTTAGCCATGCATGGCGAGAAACGTAGGAAACAAAGCAAGAGTCCCCCTCTCACTCTGACATAAGAGCTTCTCAGTGTGGGGCATCCAGTTGTCTAGTGGGGCAGGCATCTTCAAAGGGGAGGCAAAACAGATTTGGTGCAATTATATGCTATCAGCACAACTGTCAGAGTGTCCGAAAGTGTCCACAGGAGAAGCAGTGAAACACGGAGCCCACAGCTGAGTAGAGCTGTTCTAACTGATCAGCAGATAGAGCCCAGGGGCCTAATGTACACACCCTGGTTGTAGGCTGCCGTTATAGAGTAAACCCAAGCCCCACGAGGAAGAGTGGAAGAAAAGTACGAGTTTTCATTTTTTTCAATAGGCAATCTTTAAAAGAAGTATCACTTTTGAAGGATAAGACATATACATGAGTATGTCCCCCAAAAACACTGTATGAAAAAGGAAACTGTACATGTATGTTTTTCTTTGTAAGTAAATTTTTTAGAAAATCACTTTAAATAAACATTGAACTCTAGTTAATGATATAAAAGCTGAAGTATTTGGCATACATACTCAGCAAGAGTAAGTAAAATGTTTATATTCATTTACAAATGTAGCAACCTGAAAAGAAAATCTGAATTGAAATCCGGCTTGATAGAAATACAGGGCACAAGGTTAATCGCTTGCTCAAGCAGGGCAGAAATGTTGGGCCCCCTGCACACCTACAGGCACCTGGGCTCTTGAGAAAAGGCTCGGTTTCCTAGAGCGAGCTCAAGCATACATCCCACGAGCGGACCAGACAGGAATGCGTTGACTGCGCTGCTAGGAATCCCTTCCCTGAAACCAGCTGCAGAAGCGTCCCTCCCCACCCGCTCTGGATCTGGGGAAGGGAGGCTAGTGCTGGATGGGACCCTCAGATGTAAATGAAGTCACTTCGTTTGTCCTGCTGTTTGCACCCCACCCGTGGCATTCCGGAGTGAAGGCACAAGATCTGGCCAGGAGAAGGTGCTACCAGCTCTGGGACTTGGTGTGTGAGGTGTATTTTCCTATATATAACACAATAATAAAATTATACGCAGCAGTAATAGTAGTGTGACCCCATTTGGGTTCCCAGACTCAATTCCAATGTGTGTTAAGTATGTGGGAGGGGGTCTTCCCATACAAGACACCAAGCAATTCTTGAACAACAGCAGTGTGTTTTAAGAACACAACTAAATTCTGATGCTATCTGAGTGGAGACAGCGCCAGATTCCCCAGGGTAAGGGCTCCGTCGTACAAGACTGCCCTCCAGCCCCTACTACAGATGCGGGACGCAAGTCCTATGCATTACCTGTGCTTCCGACCTACCGGCTACAGATTGGAGGTTCCCACGACCTCCCCCTTAGGTTCAATTAGTTTGATAGAGTGGCTCACAGAACTTAGGAAAACACATTTTTACCAGTTTAATAAGAGACACCATAAAGGATACGAGTAAACAGCCACATGAAGGGATACATAGGACATAGGGCAAGGTCCCAAGTAAAGGAGCTCCTGTCCTTGTGGAGCTTGGGGCCTGGCTCAGTGGCACGTGGAGATGTTCTGGCTCCCCAAGCACAGAAACTCTCTGTGCCTAAGAGGCAGGACCCGACAAGGCAGAGAGAGCTGTAAGCTCTTCTCAGGGGTTTTGTGAGAGCGTCACTGTATAGCCAAGATTGACTTAAATCATCGGCCATTGGCTGATTCAACCTCTGGCCCTTGCCTTGGGTGGGGTTCCAAGTGTCTCTCTCATTAACATGACAAAACACCCATTTCACCTTTAAGATTCTGCAGTGTTTTCAGGAACTGTGCATGGCCAAATAAACCTGGGAAATAATGTGTTTGGTCATCTGAATGACCACATATATATTTCTTAGGACTCAGTTTATCACAATGTGCAAAGGAAATCCTGGCATAGATCTTCTGAAACAGATGCTAAATTAACCTCCCCACCTCTTGTAATTTCTGTCCTTGAGAGACAGAAAAAGAAGAAGCCCAGGAAGATCTGCAAAGGATAAAAGTAAATACTTCTAAGTACATCAGAAAAATGCTCCATGAAGAAATGTGTAATTCCCCATAGGATGCTCTGCTCTGTGAAATCATGTATCCTACAAGGAACCACTCTGACATCTAATGAAAGAGAGAAGCCGGAAACATAAAAACAGGCCATCCTCTTGATAAACAGTGCGTGGATGGTAATGAGAGCATACAAATTTCAAGCAAGACCCAACACTTGACAATGAAAGGGGCATTAAGACCTGCATGTTAAAGTAGAGGCCAAAAATGGTGCCAGTTGAGGGAAACAGGGAGAACCTCTGCAGCTTGCTCACTACTTACTGCATGTAAATAGAATGTCATTAAAGTATTCAGTAGCACTTCATTCCACCCACCATTTCCTACCACAGCTGGGTTTCTTCCAAGGTCATCGGCCTGGTAATGGCATGAGCCAGAATGCTCACCAAGAAAACTTGGGAAGGTTTTCTCCCCAGATTGCCACATCTGGGAATCAACCAAGTCTTCCCCAAGAATATTCCTCTATTAGTCTGTTCCCTAATCTCTGTTGGGCAGGGCAGTGACCCCAAGCTTTAAGCCCTTAGCTAAAATAATAACGCAGAAGTACTTATCAGAATTGATCCAGTACTTACTTAGCACAGAAGCCCAGGATGCCTTGAGCTCTCAGGTACTGGAGCAACAGGAGGCAGAGTTTCTGTTCTCAGGCGACCAGACCTCAGGTTGTTGGCTGTCATGGTGACACAGGAGTCCCTGGGGCTTGATTGCCACTCCCCAAGGGCAGAAGCCCATCCTTTCTCCTGCACTGTTGAATCCTATTAGCCAGCACTGTGCCTGGCCACCAGAGGCCATCAATAAAGCGACATTGGCGCTTGTGGTGAGAGGCCTGAATCCAAAGGATGGAACTGGAGAGTGGCCCAACGTGCCGTGGCACCTATACCATTAGTACACCATTCATTCAAAGAAGTATTTACTGGTCGATGTCCCCAACACTGTTCTAACTGCTGAGAATATAGCCGAGCCTAAGATTTATGTTCGGTGGAGAGAGGACAGGGCTTGCAACTAGTCAACACACACGTACTTTATTTAGCTGGTGATGAGTCCTACAAAGGAGAGAAAACAGGGCGATGTGATAGCAAAGGAGGGGTGGGCGGAGGGGTTTCTCAAGATGATGGAATGAGTAATTCCATTTCCTCTGGCCCAGGTGGCTAGGAAGGTGCAGACGAAGATGTGGCCAGGAACTCAGGTCCTCTAATCCTGCCTCCGAGGTCGGGCCAGGCCCTAGCCGACCGGATTTCAGATACGCTCTGCTACAGCCTCGCCCAGGAGACCCGAGCGACTTCGAAGAAACCAAGCGACACTCAGTCGGATCTTTTCCCATCGTCGACTAGAGGCTTTGAGCGGCGGACCCACTCCGGGACGAACTGGGAACGCGCCTCGCGGGTGCAGGGAACCCCCGGCTGCCCGACTGCAGCGGGGCCTGCCGCCTGTCGCGGACGTTCGGCTGCACTTGCAGAAATCTACGGGGCTCGAGGCCCGAGTTATCAGGCAGCCCGATTAACGACGCTCCCAGCCCGCAGCCACCTTACTCCCGTCCTAGTGGCCCTGGGGGCGTGGCTTCGCAAGCCCCAAACAAGCCCCACGTGTCGGGGGCGTGGACCTCACCGTGCGCGTGCGCGCCTGAGGTCACGCGCCGGCGGACCCGTTTTGGGGTTGGCGGGTGGGGCGGCCGTAAAGCGCGGAAGGTCGCGGTCTCCGCCTTCCCCGGAACTTCTTCCTCCCTCCGTCCCGCCTCCGCCCCATGTCCTGTCCCCGCCTTCCGGGACCCGGCGAGTGTTGTGGCTGCTGGGCCGCTGTCGCCGGGCTGTTGCTGAGCGCGGAGCCCGTTGGGGCCCGTGAGGTAAGGGACACCGCGGGGCCGTTATGGCCTCCCCGTCAGCGCTGCCCCGGGCGCTCCCAGCGTGGCCCGTGTCCGCTGTGGTCTCCCTCAGGGGTGGTCCCGGTCGTCCCTCGTCCCCTGTCGCTTCAGCCAGGTCCTCTCGGGAGAGGCCCCGCCGGCCCAGGCGGCAAGAGGGTGCGCCTCAGCGCCCTCGGCCTCTCTGCGGCTGCGTTCCGTCCGGCCGGGGCGGTAGGGGCCTCGCCGGCCCGCTCCCGGCTGTTCCCGTGCCTGCGCACCGTCTCTTCCCGGCGTGTCCGGTGCTCAGCTCGGAATCCCGGACCGGCCGGGTGTCCTCGCCTCTGGCTCCCTCCTCGGGCTTGCGCACCCTGCCCTCTCTGCGGGTGGAATTGTTTTCCCGCCTTGCACCGTGCGGTGCGCGTGTGCTTTACTAACTAGTAAGACTGCCGTGAAGTCAGGCCAGTGAGCTGTCTTAACGTTTGGCCATTGGGGACTGATGTGAGTGACACTCGGATTTGATTTAGGAATCTTCAAGACCTTTGTAACCATGCACGTCAGCATGAGGCACGGGGTTGCGAGGGGAGCGCGGCAGCCGGGCCGCAGGGCACACTTTTCCAGTGCTGGGGATTTGTGTTATTTTCTTAAACTTTCCGGGTCACCTGGTAGCACTTGTTGGAAAAATAAGAGCACCCTGTGCCAGCACGATCAGAATCTCCAAACATGGAGCCTGGGAATGTGTCTTTGTTTTTTTATCCCAGGTGGCTCTCATGCTGAGGCCGATGTGATCAATGTTGTTCCTCCATCGAGCAGCCCGTTTGTACACAGCGCTGTGACCATGTGGAGTAACGACTCTGGGGGAGATGGAGCTGGCCTCTTGCTCTAGTGCTGTAAGCATTTCTGAGCATAACCACCCCTAGTGCTGAAGTTGTTTAGCAGAAATTATTCTTTCTGGCACACTATTTTACAGTCATTTTATTTAAAATATATATAATTTACTTTAAACCAGGTTATGTGTTTTATTTTATGACTTGGACACCTTCACCTTCTCTACCAGCTTTACCTCCTTTGCTGTCAAGCCTTTGCTTCAGTTTTGCTGCCAGACCTACTTGAATAGACTCTGGTCTTCTTTTCATTCATTGTTGCATCCACTTTAGCACCCCCAACCCCGGCCCCCTTTTTTTCTTTTGCTGTCACCACCCCACTGACTCTGTAGAAGGTCATGATGAACACAAGGTCAAAAATGCATTTCCTCGTTCTTGTTTCCCTGGGCTTTAACATAGCCAATTCCATGTTGAAACTCATCTGTTACTCTGTTTTCTGCCACGGTTTGCAATTCCCTTCCTGCTAGGAGATGTGCCTTGTGTTTCTGAACTCATAGCTACCCACCTGTTCTTTAGTCATCTGAAAATTTAAAGGTTGCACGGAGTAATGATTAAGTGCAGACTCTTGTGCCGCACTGGCAGGGTTTGGTTCATGGCTCTGCCACTCACAGGTATTGTAGGATCTTGGGTGAGTTACTTCATTTCTCTGTCCCCCCACTTCCTCAGGTGTAGAATAGAAATTTCAATATCTACCTTATAGAACTGTGAGGAGTAAATCAGTTGTGTACATAAAGCAGTGTCTGGCACCCTGTAACTACCTAAAAAATACTATCTTTTTCTGCTTTTAAATTCCTTTAGGTTTCATAGCTATCTCCTCAAATCTGGGGGCCTCACCCTGAGATCTCAGAGTCATCATTGAATTGTACCCATCTCCTTTGTTCTCTGTTCTCCGTCCTTTTCACTTGTACTTCCTAGGGGCCTAGGCTGAGTGCTTGGAAAACCACCATCATGTTATAATCGGTCCCAGCTCTCAGAGAACTCCATTTTAATAGGGCTAAAAGCTGCCACTCATGGAGTGCTTCTTAGGTGTCAGTTGTCATGTTTTTCCTGCATTGTCTGATTTAGTTTTTGTGGCGACCAGGTGAGGTAGGCATTCCTGGCCCATGTTAGACAAGGAGCCCAAAGCACAGAGATTGACTAACTCTCAATGCTAATGAGAGGTGGGGAAGATCCTCAGACCCACATCTGCCTACCTCTGAAGCCTGTATTCTCTACTGGGTGATTGACACAGACTGTCCCACACATGGTGAGCTCTGTGCTGCAGGAGTTACAGAGCACTGTGGAGGGCAGAGAAGGGTCACCTAGCAGGTATGAGGGGAGAGGGGGTCCAATCAGATCATCAGTAAGCTGAGAGCTCAGGGGTTGTCTTTATTGCGGGGTGGGGTGGGGGGTGGCAGGAACCCTGCTGGTTAGAAGGAGCAGTACGCAGGCATCCTGGAGGTGAAAGAGAGTTTGTGCTGACATGTTTGTGGAATTACAGGTAGTTCAGTCTGGTTTGTTACAGGCGGGAGCAGAGAGGAGAGAAATGAGACTGGAGATAAGAAATGAGCCAGATAGGGAAGGATATAACACTTCCTATTAAGGAGTTTGCTCTTTCCTGAAGGCCTCAGAAAGTCACTGAGGGTTTTCAGTAGGGCTGTGAGACAGGATTTTCATGTTAGAAGACTCACTAAGGTACTATGGAAGAATTGTGGGGTGTGGGAGAATGATGTGCCGATTAGAGACTGGCAGCCCCGTCAGGAGCTTCTGCCGTGGTCTCAGTAAGAGAGGAAGGCAGCCTGTACTCAACTATTGGCCACGGAAACAGAGAGAAGCAGACCCATCTAAAGGAAACGTAGAATGTGGACTGTCGGGCCTCCATGATTGGCTGGATAGAGGAGATGAGAGAAGGCAGGAACCCAATGTGTAATGTCCCTGTGGGACACAGAAAATGGAGATTTGGAAATTGAGGAAGATGGGTGCCCCTTTTGGATGTGCTCAGGGTGCCCTGTGGGAATCCAAGCAGAGGCAGCTGTTCTTCAGCTAGGTGTGCTCGGAGTTGCTGTGGGGTAGGCTGTCAGTCGTAGTAGAAAATGAAATAGCCCTGGAGGGCAGTGGGCCAGGAAGAGAAGCTGGTCTCAGAGCCCTGAGGACATCAGCACAGAAGGCATGGGCAGAGGAGAGAAGCCCCCAGAGACCAGGGGGCGGCAGAATAACACGAGGCAAGCGTGTGTGAGGAGAGCTCAGCAGGACTTGCTGCTGTGGAGTGGCCCAGTGACAGGGAGCCGGAGTGTCCTTGGAAATGAGCAGCATTAGCATTCTTGGTGAGAGCAGTGTCCCTAGCGTGGCTGGACAGAAGCCCAACCATTTCTGGTTCAGGACTAAGTAGGCAGGGGAAACGGGAAAACAGATGATACAAAGCAACCCTTCTCATATATCACTTGCCAAGTGAAGGAGGCAGGTTGTGCAATGCGTAGTAAGAGTCCATTTTTGCTTAACCCACTGGCAGCCTGTGCAGTCAGTCCCTAAGGTGTAAGAAGAGGACTTCAGGCAGGTGGTGGCAAACAAGTGGCTATCAGGGCAGCACACCACTGCTCCCAAAGGGGAAGAGTCTGGGGAAATACTATAACACTGGTCTTAGTCATCTTTGTGTGGTAGGAAATCTTAATTTCCTCCTGGTTTTGAGTTTTCATCAAGACTGTAATTTTATAGTTTGGAATTTTACAATCTGTTGGAGGGACCACAAAGTGGCCAAAAGGATGAGGCCCAGTGGGATGGATTTCTCTTGGGACACAGTCTGGGCCTGCACTGGGCTCAGTTCTGAGAGTCCTCGCTGATGGATAGGCGGCGATACTTGACCTTAGCTGGTTTGGGCTGCCTGTGGAGCCGGCTGGGTTCTGAGGCTGACAGGGGAGGTGGTGGTGGGTGTACTGGTTCACCATGTGCCACCCGATGTCTACTTGTCCACCACCCTCTCTTCTTAGGTGATCATCTTTGCAGATTTCCTGACTTCAGTGATTGCATGGCCTGCAGCAGGTCTGCCTGCATTTTCTTGAAATGTGAACAGTGCTCTGTTTTGCAATTCGATGAATTTCGTTAGAACCCTGCCTTTGTTGTAGTCAGCCTGCGGTGACTGATTATTGTATATTGGACCAAGTCAGACCAAGTGTCTGGAGTCTTCCATGGTCTGGCTCCACCATACTTCAGTTCCCACTCCCCAGCCTCCTAGAGACCGAGGGCTCCAAGCACCTCCATGTCATCTGGATGACCCCGACTGTCATCCACAAACACACGTGGCCAGACTGTGACTTTATCATATGTGCTTCCTGTCTCTCCAAATCTTACCCTTCCGGGGCTCAGCTTAAGTCCCACTTTCTCTGTGACCTCTTCCCTGATGGCCCTATTCTGTCCTCTTTTCCTTCTCTGACTTCAGGCATTTATGGTCTTGTAGTAATGTGTGCTTGTATTTACAGCCTGTGACTCGTGTATAAGCGATAAGCCTGCCGTAGCATCATCCTCTGCTTTGGGGAAGGGACATGGGGCAGCCTCTCCGCCGTGTCACCCATGGAAACAGGAGGCACAACATCCTTGGCTGAGACTTGGCTCCCATCCTGCTTTTCTTTTCCAGGACCTTGTTCTTGGTATTGGCCTCTCCTTCCTCATCCATCTCTTCCCCTTGGACTGGGTCATTCCCGCCAGCAAGGAGGTGCTCTCAATAGCTCTTGGCTTTATAAACAAAGAAGTAACCCTGCCCTACCCACATTCTTCTTTCCCTTCTGTCCTGTTTTTCTGCTCCCGTCAGAGAAAAGGTAACGGAGCTGTCCCCAGGCCTTCGTCTTGCTCACTCTCCGGTTTGCTGCAGTCTGTATTTCCTTCCTGCCACTCCCCTGAGAGTGCTCTCCCCGAGGCCACCAAGGACCTCTGTGTTGTGGAACTCCAGTGCACACCTGGCTGCATGCTCCACCGTCAGCACCTGCTACAGTTAACCACTTCTTGAGCCCCTTTCCTCTCTTGGCTCCTGTGACCCTTCTGCCTGGGTTTCCTTCTGCCTATTGATCACTCCGTCTCTGTCTCCTCAGCCCCTTTCTTGTCTGGGCACCTGTGAGCGTGCCACAGCATTTGGCTCTCTCTCCGGCCTATTCTTTCTCTTTCCCATCGGTATATGCTGGGGAGCCTCAGCGTTCTTCTTCTTCTTTAAGTTGCTCGGGCTTTAAATGTTGTATATGCTCCTGACTCCCAAACCTCTGCCCCAAGTTTCAGACTTGGCTCTCTGGCTGCTGCTTGGCATTTACACATGGGTGCCCAATGGGTATCTCATACTTCACACCTCAGAGTGGGATGTGATCATGTAGGTGTGTGCACACGCCCACAGGCTCCCTCCCACTCACTCTCCTGCCCTGCCTCCCCACTCCTCCAAGTCCTGCACACTGTGGCACCAAGGAACTCAGTCATCATCATCCTTGGCCACCACTGCTGTCTGTGCAGGTAGGAAACTGTGGAGCTCACTGTGCACTGAATGAACAATGCTGGTTCTTTGCTGCATCCTTTTCTCAGTAATCCTATGCATTGAATATAATGGAATGAAACATGTTTGGTTTCTCTGTCTAATTTGAATTCTTGGGCTGTCCTTAGCTGAGTGAGAGCACATCTCCTGGGTGCTGACGGACGTGATGTTTCACTGGTTGCTGTCGGTGGTCCGAAGACAAAGAACTGGCCGAGGATGGCAGAAGTGGTCCTCAGCAACAAGTTGTGTGTCAGCTGCCAAGGCGCATTCTCTGGCCCTGCCTGCCCAGGCACGAGTGGTCATCTGTGGTGGCGGCATCATGGGCACATCTGTGGCCTATCACCTGTCCAAGATGGGCTGGAAGGACATTGTCCTTCTGGAGCAGGGCAGGTAAGGATCAGACTGGATGTGGCTTGGGGCTGCACTGCACTCACTGGGCGGGTTCCAACTTTCCCTTTTTTTTGCTAACTAGTCCCACAAATAGCTGATCTCAGTTGTCACCAAGTGGCATGTGGAAGGATCACAGACAGGTGAGACCTCCTTCCTGTGCTTGGTTTTATGATTCCTAATACTCATGTTTTCTGGTTTTTGGAGAGGTGTCCAATTTCCAACACACCAAGTACCTAAAGGGTAGATTTTATTTCAGGCTCACAGCATATCTTGTTCTCTTTTCTATTATCACACAGCAACAGGAATCCTGTAGCTTGAGAGCTTCCTCCCTGAGCTGAAATGGAAATTGCTACCTTCTGCCTTCTATCTGTTCATTTTGCATCTAATTAACATACTACACAGCTGTAGGCCCATGGAACCACTGCACAAATGGAAGATCATCCCACGTTCCCCTGACCTCACACCCAGTGTTCCCTGTGTTAACATCTTAAGTTGGGATTGCTGTTTCAATTGGTGGGCCAATGTGAATACATTCTTACTAACTAAAGCTCATACTTTGCTGGAATATTTTCATTTCCCCTTAATGTCCTTCCCTGTCTAGGTTTTTTATGTTCCATTGTCTACCACAGAATGGACATTTAAAAAATGTGTTTATTTCTGAATAGGCAATACATGTACACAATTCAGAACTGAAAACTGTAAAAGAGGGCACAAGAAAACCTTCCCTCCAATCTCTGACCTCCAGCTGCAAGTTTCCTGGCTGGAGGCAATTTAAGTTCCTTGTGTATCATTCCAGAGACTTCCTACATATGTGAGCAAATAAGTATTAGTTGGTGTGTTAGTGGCATTCCTTTATTTCTTCTCCTTTTTTATCCAAATGGTAACATACCCAAAACACCATCACCTTGTTTTTTTTTCTATAGGAGAGTTCTATATTGCTATATAAAAACTTTCTCAATCCTTTTCTATGGCTGTATAGTCTCCCATTGTGTAGGCAAACCCCATAATGTTCAATCCATCTCATGTTGGTGAACATTTAGGTTGTTTCCATCTTTTGACATTATGAACAGTGCTGTAATGAGGACTTTGAACTTGTTGCATTCTCAGATATGTGAGTCCACCTAATAGCATTTTGGGTCCGTCCCTACAGGCTGGCTGCTGGCTCCACGAGGTTCTGTGCTGGCATCCTGAGCACTGCCAGGCACTTGAGCATCGAGCAGAAGATGGCAGACTATTCAAACAAACTCTACCATCAGTTAGAGCAAGAAACAGGGATCCAAACAGGTAGGCAGGTGACCTACCACTTGCTAATATGCTCTCCCCCACAGGCACTTGAGCATCGAGCAGAAGATGGCAGACTATTCAAACAAACTCTACCATCAGTTAGAGCAAGAAACAGGGATCCAAACAGGTAGGCAGGTGACCTACCACTTGCTAATATGCTCTCCCCCAGTCTTTTTTCCCTCAGTATTGTGTTGATCGCATGCCACATTTCCCTGGTGAGCTGCTAAGGAAACTTGAGTTTCAGTGTGGGCTCTGCCACTAGTCAGGGTATTTACTGCCTTGTGAAGGTCACATAGCTTGTCGAGCTGTCGTCAGTTCCCCTATCAATTAAGGGGATGAGTCAATATCCCAGATCCTTTTCAGATCCTGTAATTCTTATGATATGAAATTTCCTGGACCATTTCCTCTGTATTTCACCCATTGTAATATAGTAAGTGACATTTGGCTCCTAAGTAAAGAGAAGGAGGAAGCACTTAAGATTAGGTGCTTGACACAGATGACAAGTAGTGACTCTGTGGCACCTTACTACACTGATGGACAGTGACTGCAATGAGGTATGGGGGGGACTTGATAATATGGGTGATTGTAGTAACCATATTGTTTTTCATATGAAACCTCCGTAAGAGTGTATATCAGTGATACCTTAATATAAAAAAAATGAAGATGAGGTTATGGATTAAAGATGGCGGCCTGAGAGGTGAGACAGAGGCTTCCTCCTAAAACCACATATAATATGAAAATATAATTAATACAACTAATCCTGAAAGAGCACAGGAAAAGGACTGCGCCAGACTGCATACACCTGGAGAAAAGAGCAGACCTCACGGAACAGGGTAACGTACCAAAGCTGTCGCATGGCAAGACCCAAGCCCTTCCCCTACCCCAGCTCACCGGCAGGAGGAAGACAAATGGAGCAGGGAGGGAGTGGAGGCCTGGGACTTGTGAATACCTAACTCTGGATCTGCTCTGGGAGCACAAACTTACATTTCATGGTGCTTTCATGATACACTCGTGATTAGAGGATTGGAAAGCTAAGACAGGCAGAATTCCTGGAGAGACTGAGATTCCAGCTGCTTGTGGAAAGCAGGGATCCATATCTGGCTACTCTGGGACAAAAGAAAAGTGAGCAGTCTGAGAGACTTCATAACAAGGAAGCCCTTAGAAAGAGGGCTGCAAAAGGGGCAAGGATTGCACAGAGCTTACTGCTCAGGAGACAGAACAGATAGACACAATTGCATGGATGCACTCTGGCTAGCAGGTTGGGAGCTTTCACGATTTCCAGGTGCTCCAGCTCCCTGGCTGGCTACACAGCTCCAAGGACACCCTCTGTGATAGGCAGCCTACTGCACCTTTCTCCCAGCTAGCCCCACCTGGCTCCCAAACTGGCAAACCCTACCCTGGCATTAGGCCAGCCAGAGGGAAGATCTGTCTACAGCAACTACAAACGCAAAGCATAGAGGCTTATACCTGTGTGCTTGGGCCACTGGTTCAGCAATGGAGGCAGGCATAGCAGCCAGAAAGCAGGAAACAGCTCTTTCCTTCCCCCCAGGCACCAATACGACTCCCCTGGGACCACCAACATTGCTTCAGGGGCTGAGCAGCTCCAGAGAGTAGAGCTTCTGGACACGAGAGGGCGCCATATACAAATATGAAACGCCAAAGGAATCTGGTTCAGAGTAAAATTAATGTAACTCCTGAGAAAGATGACATGGACCTCATGACTCTTCCTGAGAGGGTTTCAAAATAAAAATGATTAATGTGCTCATGGAGGTATGGAAAGATATTCAAGAACTCAGGAATGAATTCCAGTCAGAGATCCAATTGTTGAAGAGCACAATGGAGGGTATTAAAAGCAGATTAGATATGGTGGAGGAGACGATAAATGAAATAGAAACTAGAGAAGAGGAATACAAAGAAGCTGAGGCACAGAGAGAAAAAAGGATCTCTAAGATTGAAAGAATATTGAGAGAACTGTGTGACGAATCCAGACGGAACAATATTCGCATTATAGGGGTACCAGAAGAAGAAGAAGAGAGAGAAAGGGATAGAAAGTGTCTTTGAGGAGGTAATTGCTGAAAACGTCCCCAATCTGGGGAAGGAGATAGTCTCTCAGGCCATGGAGATCCACAGATATCCCAACACAAGGGACCCAAGGAAGACAACACCAAGACATATAGTAATTAAAACGGCAAAGATCAAGGATAAGGACAGACTACTAAAAGCAGCCAGAGAGAGAAATAAGATCACATACAAAGGAAAACCCATCAGGCTAACATCGGACTTCTCAACAGAAACCTTACAGGCCAGAAGAGAGTGGCATAATATATTTGATGCAATGAAGCAGAAGGGCCTGGAACCAAGATTACTTTATCCAGCAAGATTATCATTTAAATTTGAAGGAGGGATTAAACAAATTCCAGATAAGCAAAAGATGAGGGAATTTACCTCTACAAATCATCTCTCCAGTCTATTTTGGAGGGACTGCTGTAGATGGAAGTGTTCCTAAGGTTTAATAGCTGTCACCAGAGGTAATAAAACCACAGTGAAGAAAGTAGAACAGTTAATTACTAAGCAAATGCAAAATTAAATTAACTATCCCCAAAGTAAATCAAGGGATAGACAAAGAGTACAGAATAGGGTATCTAATATATAAAGAATGAAGGAGGAAGAAAAATGAGGAGAAAAAGGAAAGAACCTTTAGATTGTGTTTGTAATAGCATATTAAGTGAGTTAAGTTAGACTCTTAGATAGTAAGGAAGTTAACCTTGAATCTTTGGTAACCATGAATCTAAAGCCTGCAATGGCAATAAGTACATACCTATTGATAATCACCCTAAATGTAAATGGACTGAATGCACCAATCAAAAGACACAGTTATAGAATGGATTAAAAAACAAGACCCAGCTATATTCTGCCTACAAGAGACTCACTTCAAACCCAAAGACACACACAGACTAAAAGTGAAGGGATGGGAAAAAATATTTCATGCAACTAATAGGGAGAAAAAAGCAGGAGTTGCAGTACTTTTATCAGACAAAATAGACTTCAAAACCAAGAAAATCAAAAGAGATAAAGAAGGACATTACATAATGACAAAGGGGTCAATCCAACAAGAAGATATAACCATTATAAATATCTATGCCCCCAACACAGGAGCACCTACATATGTGAAACAAATCCTAACAGAATTAAAAGGGGAAACAGAATGCAATGCATTCATTCTAGGAGACTTCAGTATGCCATTCACTCTGAAGGACAGATCAATCAGACAGAAAATAAGTAAGAGACAGAGACACTGAACAACATATTAGGACAAATGGACCTAACAGACATCTACAAAACTCTACACCCAAAAGCAGCAGAATACACATTCTTCTCAAGTGCACATGGAACATGGAACATTTTCAAGAATAGATCATATACTAGGCCACAAAAAGAGCCTCACTAAATTCAAAAAGATTGAAATTGTACCAACCATTTTCTCAGACCACAAAGGTATGAAACTAGAAACAAATTACACAAAGAAAATGAAAAAGCCCACAAACACATAGAGGCTTAATAGCATGCTTCTAAATATCAATGGATCAATGACCAAATAAAAACAAAGATCAAGCAATATATGGAGACAAATGACAACAATAATTCAACACTGCAAAATCTGTGGGACGCAGCGAAGGCCATGCTAAGAGGGGAGTATATTGCAATACAGGCCTACCTCAGGAAAGAAGAACAATCCCATATAAGCAGTCTAAACTCACAATTAATGAAACCAGGAAAAGAAGAACAAATGAGGCCCAAAGTCAGTAGAAGGAGGGACATAATAAAGATTAGAGCAGAAATAAATACAATCGAGAAGAATAAAACAATAGGAAGAATCAATGACAGCAAGAGCTGGTTCTTCAAGAAAATAAACAAAATAGATAAACCCCTAGCCAGACTTACCAAGAAAAAAAGAGAGTCTGCACATATGAACAGAATCAGAAATGAGAAAGGAAAAATCACAATGGACACAATAGAAATACAAAGAATTATTAGAAAATACTATGAAAAATTATATGCTAACAAACTGGATAACCTAGAGGAAATAATTAACTTTCTAGAAAAATACAACCTTCCAAGGCTGACCCAGGAAGAAACAGAAAATCTGAACAGACCAATTACCAGCAATGAAATTGAACTGGTGATCAAAGAACTACCTAAGAACAAAACTCCTGAACCAGATGGCTTCACCGCTGAATTTTATCAAACATTTAGTGAAGACCTAACACCCATCCTCCTTAAAGTTTTCCAAAGAGTAGAAGAGGGAATACTTCCAAACTCATTCTGTGAGGCCAGCATCACTCTAATACCAAAAAACAGGCAAAGATGCCCCTAAAAAAGAAAATTACAGACCAGTATCCCTCATGAACATAGATGCAAAAATACTCAACAAAATATTAGCAAACCGAATTCAAAAATACATAAAAATAATCATCTATCATGACCAAGTAGGATTTAATCCAGGAGTGCAAAGATGGTACAACATTTGAAAATCCATCAACATCATCCACCACAACAACAAATAGAAGCACAAAAACCACATGATCATCTCCATAGATGTTGAAAAAACATTTGACAAAATTCAACATCCATTCATGATAAAAACTCTCAACAAAATGGGTATAGAGGGCCAGTACCTCAACATAAGAAAGGCCATATATGACAAACTCACAGCCAACATCATACTTAACAGGGAGAAGCTGAAAGCTTTTCCTTTAAGATCGGGAACAAGACAAGGATGCCCACTCTCCCCACTTCTCTTCAACATAGTTCTGGAGGTCCTAGCCACAGCAGTCAGACAACACAAAGAAATAAAAAGCATCCATATTG